TCAATGCATGTATGCAACACATTGAGCTTCTCTGCAATATTTCGTGTTGTGGTGAGACGATTGGATCGATAATGGCCTTGAATGGGTTTCATCCACTTCGACTGGGCGCCCAGATCGTTGTGTTAAGTGAAAAATCACCGGAACGAAATCTTTCAAACCAATTTCGACACTGCCTTTCTTTTAAAGTCTTCATCTCCATATACGGCACATAACTTCTTTTGTGCTCCCTATATATGCGGCACAGTTTGTGCTTGCGATGCGTTCTTGCCTTTTCGGAAGTAATAAATAAAATGTGCCTGGAATTGCACGTCCTGTTCTTTATTTTAATATTAAGATAAAAACAAAACTAAAGAACTAAACAAAACAACATTTTTTACTAATTAACCTAGAAGCCCATACAGAAAGAAATTTTTTACTAATTAACCTAGAAGCCCATACAGTTAAAAAATATAGGTTAGATGCTCTGGCCACGTTAACAAAACATTTTTTACTAATTAACCTAGAAGCCCATACAGTAAGAAATTTTTACTAATTAACTTAGAAGCCCATACAGTAAGAAAAAAATATAGGTTAGATGCTCTGGCCATACGTTAAGAAAACAAAAGAAAGTATAGAGTGAATCTGTCAACAAAAACGGTTGCCAACCCAATATTTGGTGCTTGTGAAAAATCTTACTTTCGCGAATTTGGGAGATTGGCGCTTCCTACTGCTAACATCCACAGATATAGTGATCTGTCCGAGAAGGGACAATGCTCAATGCTCATTGGTGTGCACCCCAGTGGTGTTGGCAGACAACTCCAAGAAGGGTGGTAGAATACCAGTTCCTATCAAGACTACACCAGGATACCTTCACTCTACCCAAGTCAAGTGTTGTGAGCGTCGAAAGTTTAAAATGCCCATTTCTGAAAAAAGGTTCAATGAACTACAAACCCGAAATTAGGACAAAAATAGTGTTAGTTGATAGCTAATCTAGACTGAGATCAGACGAAATCAGTAATAAAATTCAACTAAAATCAGTCGTTTTTTAAGAAAAGAAAGTTTGATGAAAAATGACAAATCGAAGGCACCGTTTTCACGATCTAGAGCAATGATTAAGACGATTACTATTTCACTTTCCAACATATTTATAGTTAATAGGTTAATACCGTGATAAAATATACTAGACATAGGAGCTAAAATAGAACCACTACTAGTCTTTAGATCAATAGCGATTTGCAAAGTTAGCTAATAAAAGGATAATTTTGAACAATCTAATTTAATTTATTAGATAATAATTTCTTATCAGAATGCCTTTGCATAAAGTAAGTCGTCCATAAAGCAGTTAGAACTCACTTGACCTTACTTTTCAGATAAGTTGGAGCCAAAATGACAATTTATGTACTAAACTGGACAAATAACAGGAAATAAATCAATTCAAACAAGTATTCAAACTTTGCAAGACACTATGAATATACAAGTTCAAATCAATTTTACGGAATAGGATTAGAGCTTTATACTGCTTCCAGGATGCCCTCAATATTAAGCTAGTAACTGAAAAACCTGAGTTAGTTAAAGACCATCCACTTCACGGTGTTAACTGACTTCAATGTGACAAAAATTGGAAGACTGGGAAGTGTCTGAAAACGTCCAATCAATTAAGGTATAAAGAGGTCTGTATCACTTAAGGGCCAGTTTTGTGTAGCTTTATCTCATGAACAAAGGAGAATTCCGAGGACATTCTGTCTTATGCTTAAGAAATACAATTTTTTTACAATCTCAAAGACAGCTGCAAATGATGAGAAAAAAGGACAATTCTCAACAGTAGCCGCCTTATAAGTCAAAGGGTGCTAGCCGAATCAAGTAACAAAATTTTATCACTTACCAGACTTGAAAACAATCAATCAACGAGATACTACAGTCTCATTTAGAAATATATCCAAGTTCTATTGAGGAAAGGGTTTACTACAACTACTCTAAGGGATAGAAAATATTGATGCTCCTCCAGTTGAGAGCACGACAATTGGTGACCAGTTCATAAAAATAGCTTCTAATTGTCATCAAGCAAAATAATCAAAGATGACACTTAGTGTGAATCACAAATGAAAAATGAGTGAATTGGACAATACAGCTAACTGCAATCATCAGGCCTGGGAAAATCAGTTCCCAATAAAGTTTTTATCTTAGAGCAGCAATACACTATCTTTGTATTAATTTTGAAGAAAAACAATGAATTAAACGAACTTACGTGGCCTTGCAGACCATATTCATATCACAGAGATTCCGAGTGGTATGCGGTCGAACAGTAAAAATACAGAGGTAATTTTTTTTCTTCTTATTCAAGTACTTTTCCTGAGAATATTTGGTCTTCATATGAAAAGTTGTGCTCTTCTCAACCAATTTCGAAATAATTGCCTCGAAAAATAAAATAACTAGATTTAGCTTTTTAATTGGATTTTGGAAATTTAGATCATTAATGTAAACCCCTACATCCCCTTTAAAGCCAGTAGACCTAAGGCTCTGGATGTCCTCTGCAGTAAGTATCTGATTGTCACTTCGATCAAGAAGATTTCGATTATCCCTGGAAGATTCTAATTCATATGGCTCCAAATTGACGGTTATTTCCTCTTCTTTTACCTGGGTAACTGTGGTACCATCATAAAGAAAAGTAGACCCCATGGGATAACCGATCAACTGCGACATCGGGACCTTGTCCTTACCAACACCAAGATTTCTGCAAAATGAAACAACAAAAGTAAAACTACTTAAGATATGCAGTAAAGGCCACCTTAGAACCTCACTTGTTTGATTTGATGGTCACAATCTGAAAATTATCACCCCTTTGAACAATAACCTTATCGCCTTCTTCAATTGGTTTCCAGACAGCTAAAAAATACAAGCACCACTCAACAGAAGATCGACAAATTTCTGTAGATAATTTGTATAGTTGCTACTTAAACTTGTGATTTCGTTAGCTTGAACGCAATCTAGACGATTTCGGAAGCACATTAGTGTTAGGGGCTAGAAATATTAAGTCACAGCTAATTAGACTTCTAAAAGCCCACCAAAATTTAGCAAAAATAACTTACACGTCAATAAAGATCCATTGGTAAACACAATATTAACACAACTTCATATACCAAGTTTTTTTGAACTTATGGACATAATAACAACTAATTGAAAAGAACAAAAAGGAATAACACCAAAGGGACGAGATCTTGAAGTTTTTACACATAACTTAATGAAAACCAGTCAGGCGATCGATGGATAAAGGCAAAAAGGAACTATATTTACTTCAGAGTAAGTATTCGAAAAAACGCACACTGCATTTTGTCCAAGTAGGTCAATAGATGTTACCCGTAGGCTGAAACTGCTTAATATTTTGAAATAAGAGGTTAGAGTTCCTTTTAATGTCCTAGAAAACACTACATGTATTATAAATAAGAGCTTTTTATTACATAGAAAATGTGCTAAAAGAAAGCATGCCTAAAACAGTTGTTTTCAAAATATTTTAATAGTGGTAGCCCAAATAAATAAAATTTTCAAAATATAGATAAACCTATTCTTATATTGAAGTTCGATTTACTGAATGCAAAAAAAGTTTCGGCTATAAATTTTACTAATGTTTGGAACGTAATTTTCACGATCTTGATAGTAATTCATGTTTAAAATTTATTTTCTATCTAATATCGTTTCATTCAAGAATAATCACAATTTTTGATTCAATCGAATTATAATTATTCATTCTATCCTGAAATGCATGTGCTATCAACTGCAAACGCTAATCAGCAATCTTTACGATTCAAAATATGAAATATTATGCTTTGGTCAAAGTGCTTCAAGGAGGAGACAGTATCGTTGATTTTGACAAAGATTACAAATACAATCAAAAACTTTTATTCTTTGATAAATATCGACTAAAGCTCAAATTTCCAACACAGTAAATGGGACTCATTAGTTTGAGATACGAATTGTAAGGACATTTCTCAAATAGAAAAATTTTAATTGAGTGAGGCATATTGCTCACCAATTTTGTAATATGTAAATTTCCAAAGTAAATAAGAGTAGGTACCTTAGACTGAAAACGTTCAATGTTGGCTACTATTGTACTACCTGTAAACAGGACTTTTGCAGTTTTTCAACTTAATTGTAAAATTCGTAATGGTTTTGAATAACTTCGTTAAAATTTTAAATTAACTTTGCGTATCTAACTCCAATTGATTATATAACTTAAATTAGTGAAGAGTTTTTGTAGTCGTGGCTGGTAAACACTATTCAGTTATTTAAACACCTAAGGTAGAAAAAATTCGCCGATGGCTCATTAATGCAGCAAGAGGTGATTTAGATATTAAAATGGCTATCAACAAATGTTTCTTTCAAATTTATTTATAAAAACGCTTATAATTATTCCCATAGCCCTTTAAGGTCATGAATAAAGCTAACCTTCCAGTTTAGAATTCTTCATTAAATTCAAATTCGGTAAGATCAAATCCTTTAGTATGAAATAAACACATAGGTCATGACTGTATATTCGTTCCATCCTCCTTTTTTGAATCAGCTTAGTAAACTGTTTCAAGTGACAAGTCACTCGAGAATGTAAAACACACGGAAATAGTTAACGCTGAACAGAATAATTTTAGCAGAAAATACAGCTTTCATCTTAAAATTTCAAAATTTAAGCCTAAAGACATGTGTAATTAGGTAATTAGGCACTTCAATTTCCTGCAAATTTCTTATTCCTAAATACTAAGCCTTCCTGAATTTGCGCTAAAAATATAGGCATTAGCCATTAAACTTGACGTTTATCTCCCACTTTGCTTAATTTCCCTTATTTTAATTTTGTTGTCAAAGTTTAGCTGCTTGTCTAAGCACCTTGATAGTTAATTTTTGCTTATGATACACACACACACACACACACATATATATATATATATATATATATATATATATATATACATGCAAACGTTTATATTTATATATAATTTTTGTTACGATTCACAGTTTATCTACGAGTTTCACTTCGATCAACGCAAACCGTTTTATTGTTCTAATCTTATTTTAGATTTATAAAATTAATGAAGTATGATATGATTTACTATTGTTAAATCGGGCACAATAAAGTTAACTTGTAAGTTTCGAGAAGTTATGTGAAGTATGTAATGGAATCAAACGACAAATTTTGAGATAAATATTCGTAAACTGACAAAACTGGTCTAGAGTAATCGTAAAAGCGTTAAATTGTGATTGCGTAATTTGGAATTTTATCAAGTGCTAATTGAACCGATTTGTCATTGTGTCATTTTAAATAATTTCAATTTGTCTTCTCACTACTTAAACACCAAAGCTCAGGTTACGTTCACTTTTGCTTTGAATAGTACTTTAGAAACAGGAACTACTTGTATTATCATGTAATGTTATTATTCAATTATAACATATGTTTTAACAAAATGCATGATTGCATGAAAATGACCTTGAATAACCCCGCATTCGATAATTTAATATATTCATGCAATCGAAAAACTTCAAAATAAGTCCCATGTCTCCGTTATCAAATTTCGAAAATAAAAACGTTCTGAAGCAAGCAAGTTTTTCCTCCGAAGGAACTCTTTCTCTTTCCAATTTCAAGGTGTCATTTCTTGAAAGAAGGGTTCCTGTATTAGTTTGCGCCACAGTTATAATCTTACTTATTCTCTTCGCCGTGAGCGTTTATGCAATTTATATTTCCCTTTTCCACTTTGGGTATATTTATGCTACTAAGGAACCAAATGCAGAAATTGGCTGTGGAGTTGTGAAGGGTTTTATTGACAGGGATGTTGTACATTATCTTGGAATACCTTATGCTCTTCCACCAATTAACAGCCTTAGGTTTCAAAAACCTGTTGAGCTCACTACATACGATCTTTGTGTAAAAGCTTGGAATACTCCTAGAAGTCGTGATAAAAGTGTTCTGAAGGCCTTATCATATCGCAATGTTTGTATGCAGTTAGTTCCCATTTCGAATGAAATTATTGGAAGCGAAGACTGCCTCTATCTAAACATATTTGTACCTCTAACTCACAAAGTAGATGAACTTCATCCCGTTATTTTTATAATCGGTGGTTTCTTTTTCAATTATGGTGGTTCATTTAATGGGTCAACATTCCTTCATCAACCAGATTCTACAACTGTGACTGATTTGAATGCTATAGTGATTACCTTTAACTATCGATTAGGCCCTTTCGGTTTCTTGACCAATCCTTTAACAAAAGTTGCAAATATAGGGATTCGTGATCAACTAGCAGCTCTACGGTGGGTCAGGATGAATATTCGAAATTTTGGGGGTGATCCACTTAAAATAACTGCTTTCTCTTATGGTTCAGGAGCAACAAGCACTATAGCCTTGCTTGGCTCTCCTTTAGCTCAAAATCTTTTTGCCAAGGCCTGGATAAGTGCTCCCGCTCTTTGCAAACCAGAGATCACCCTCTCCGATGCTATCGAGACTTCAAAGCAGGTTTTTAAATGTACGAATTCCGCGTGCACTCAAACAGAAGAGGAGATCATTCGAATTTGGAACTGGACTTCAGTCGAACCTTGGATCAAACAGCTCTTCACCATTCCCTCTCTTTCATCACCTTATTGTCTTCCTGGCTTACCATGCACTGGAGGTATTTTAGTTGTCGACGATGAGGTTATAACCAATTCAAGCTGGAATTCTCCTCTCTCCCCAATTCCAATAGTTGTCGGCCAAAATTCTCACGAAGCTGAAGCCTATCCATTTCCTAACACCGTTCAGCTATGGACCTTTATGACCATGTCTGAGTATATTCAAAATATTTTCGATAATCACAGTGAAGAAATTAGTCTAATTAACGACCATTACCTTTCTAAAGAAAAAACGGCAGAAAATATGAATGCGAATACATCACTCAATGTGCATAACGTTGTGACTAAATATTCTGAAATTGTCACTGATATTCGCGTTACCTGTCCATTGCAAGCTTATGCGCAGTTTCTTCGTAAAATTCAGCCTATTCAACGATATTACATTCGTAGTCGACATGTTAATTTCAATCCCTATAGTCTGGACTCCTTTGTCTCTTCTGCATTTCACGGTTGGGATGCCTTTCTTCTTTTTAAGATTTATCGTTATCACCCCGATTATATCTATGCCTCTGACAGGTCAACTCTGCCGGACAAAACTCTGGAAAAACTCAGTGAAAATTTCTGCTCTTCTTTGAAACACTTTATTTGGAGTGGAACGTTATTTCCTGGGAAGAAGAACACCCTGCTAACATTCTTTGAAAATGAAGTGGTCTATTCAACGTCATTGGACAATTTATCTATGTGCAAAGAGTGGAACGGCCTAATTGCCCATTCTCCATATCGTCATGCCTGGAAGGCCTAATCAAAAATGCATTCCATGGCCTCCTTTCTTCGAACGTAACAAATCCATAGTTAGATTATGCTATCTATTGTAATATTAACCTATGTTATCCGCATTTTTATTTTCAGAAAGTAATTTATTGCAAATAAAGGGTTGGTTCGTTAAAGATCAGGCTAATCTATAACATATCAATGATTGAAAATTTCTACAACAAATTTGGTGCGTAAGAAAGAGGTTAATAACCGATTTCCTTCCACCTCTTGATGGCCTTAGAAAAATAGAGCTCTTATATTATACGTATACGTATAATTTAGAAATGCATATAACAATGCGAAAGGCCTTACAAGTTTTAATGAAGGGGAAGGGCAGACAGACTCAGTAGGTACTAAATCAGGCGCATCATGGAAGCCAATAATTAGCTGATGAAGTCAAAGCATAAGAAGTGCCATTTTATTTGAATTATGAAAACATCGAGTGTTTCTCTTTTCTCTTCAAAAATGGGAATGGGCTATGGAACAATGCTTTAATGTTCGAAATTTGCAAGCTATTTCCCAGACTCAAGAGTGAGGTCATTTTCAAATATTCCGAGTTTGCTGACCAGTTGATTTACTCCCATATGTGGTCATGTAGCTTCGATTTATTCGCATCTTGTCACCTTTTTTGATCTACGCAGGTGAATTAGTAACTTGAGTTTCTTGAAAGACTTGAGGTATCGATACGTTCTTTCGAGGATGCGGCCATTCATTTAGAGTTAACATGATGCTCTATTTGAGACAGACTTTAACGATTCATTTATGCAGTAAAGAACTGGGCAATTTCCATTCCATATTTGGTTGAAATCTATTTGTTTAAACATAATATTTGCAATTCTATAGGTCTTTTCTAGCTATGGAGGCTCTTGATAACACTTTGAATAGAAAATTAAAAAATTGCATTTCTACAATTTATCACAGTTTAAAGATCTCGTGTCCTACTAATTGCATATGCTAATTTGTTCATCAACTTGGAACTGATTCAGGAAAAATTCATCAGTAAAAGAGTGATACCAAGTGTTTTGTAGAACAGAATTTCACAATAGCTATCCATTCAAAGCCCTATGCTCATAATTAACTTCGATTAAGGTAATTGAGGACTGAAATATTATTTGGGTTCAGGAAAAGCATTTTGGGTAGTAATCTCGAACACTTTCACCATAAAAAATGTAATATTCAAAAACCACAAATCTCGCAATTCAAAGTTTTTCGTTGATATTGGGAAGACTTAGAGTAACTGTAGTGTGATTCTTTTCCGCGAATACAATAAGGAACAAAGAGAAAATGTAAAGTAGCCTTTTGAATTCCGAACTATGTTTTAGAATCATATCAGTCAAGTGAGCACTAAACATCGTGTTGACAATAACTGTGCTAAGAATAGCATCACTAAGAATTTTTCGGTTTTTGTATTGATTGCGTGTATTGTTTTATCTACACGGAGGAGGGAGGGATGGGGCAGAGGTAGAGAAAAATGTCAGGTCTTCAAAGGAGTCCTTACACGACTTCTGGATTTATAAAAGGCTTCCTTTATTTGTAGAATTTGATTAAAGCATTTTTAATATTCCGATGTTCCAAGGTTCATATATGAGGTTTCAATCCAAAGATTACCGAGACGGCCCATGCTCATGATGTTCACAATTTTTAGAACGAGTGCGATTGCTCGTCATAACTAATAGAGCCACTGTAGTTCCTCAACATGGACTCTCATTTGCTCAATAATACGAAAAAATCCTCTTTGATAGAAGCCACTAATTTAAGAGCGGCAAAATATTACCATTCAAATGTGCCCTTAAAAGTTCTCAATATATGTACATATGTACATATATTATGGTTTTTCACATTAATCCTCTTAGTAAACACATATATAAATGCATATATCAAGCTGGTTATGAAACAGCAGTAAGCACTTTTGCAAATCATATTGCTAACTGAGTAGTGCTCAGTATTTCGATTCTTTACGAGGCCCCTGAGTTACTCAAACGCACCCTGGAGCAACATTTATTGTAGTTACGAATATCCAAAATAGAATGATCTACATACTGAGTGCATTTCTTATGTCGCAGTGGTTGAAGTAGAGTCAAAAACTCAAAACTCATCTTGGAACAGTCATCTTGATATGAACGGCCAACCACATTCCTTATTTCTGGCCAATAAAAGATGTCGACTGCTATGAGGTTCATAAATTCATTCCTTAATTCAAGTTAATACTATGTGCTAGTGATATAATGTGAATAGCTAAAATCATAGAATATAAAATAAGGACAAAGACTTAAAATTTAAAACAGTTTAGGCAGTTGAATTTTTCAATTTATAATTTATTTAAGAAACTTCAATAGTTTTCAAAAGTGTCTTATTTTCTTTACTTAAGAACTTCAAAAGTGCTTCGAAAAGCGGTATATAGATCTAGGGTGGGCAGTCAAGTCGAGATTTCTAAATCACCATTTATTAAAAGTTTGGGAGTGGTTTTAAAAACAGTAAAACATATTTAACTCACTTCTCTTGTTGGTTAGGAGGGAAGGTGGGAGGTAGAACTGGGCGTATCCTGAGGAGAGTGAGCAAAATTGTGGGTCAACGCCCCAAAATATCCCCAAATAGTTGGCATCATATTCCCCTTTTTTTCACTTACTACAGTTTAGCGAGTGGTGATCTCTGAAGGCCTTGCTATCCATGGGTATAACCTGACTGCCACTGGCCACTTAGAGCCAAAGGATCCATTACTGAATTCTTGGCAGGAATAAAAATAATCTTGGTTTTTGGCATAAACAAATATTATTTTTGGGTTTAACAATTTCGCGAATATGTTACGCTCAAAACATTTGAATTAGACTTTAAAAAATTTCTTATCGTAACTATGTCTCACCACTGGAATCCTTATCATTTTAGAGATTTCAAAATTACCAACTATATCAAGCAAAGTGCTGATGATTAAGAATAAGGCAGAATTAGATAATAACAGTAAGAAGCGGGTGTGTGGCTATAGTTGTGTTAGAAAAGGATGAAGAGATTAAGTCTATGAGAGTCTGAATTTCATCTTTACTTGATATGCCGGTATGAAGAAAATTCCCTGCACAAAAAGATGCTTACATTTGATCTAATGTTAACATTGATCAGGCATTGAGCAAATGTCACTTGAGAGCCTTCCTTGTCCTTTGCTGGACTTAACGCCTACAACAATTCTGAAGCAGCAATTAAAGAGATTAGGGTTGTGCAACGCGCCAGAACATTCCAAGAACAATAGCTTTGGCATTGCACTCTCTATAGCTATACCATGTGAACACTTCTGAAAAATTCTCTAAAAGTATTTAACTATCGCAACCATTTGCGAAGATACAACTCAAAATTATTGTATTTTTAAAGAATTATTGGAATATGATATTTTCATGCAGAAAATGTAGGAAATAACCGACTACACAAGCATATTACCTACTTCTTACTTACCTCTTGCATAACCATAATTATTACTTATTATTACTTATCACTTATTCATCAATAAAACTATAACAATGAGTTAAGGTACAACAAACAGATTAAAGCAAAAATCTTTTCTCCGTGAACAGAAACCGAATATCAAGGAAGAAAACAACAAAGTATTTCACTTACTGAATTGTTAAGTAAAGATGAAAATCTACGTGAAGTCAACTTTATAGCAGACATTTTTCTCAGAAATTAAAAGAAATAGTTTTAGTTTGTTTGCGTCCTAGTTACTTTTCCCATAGCACTTGCCTAATTGTCCTATCTTAAAATCTCATTTGGGGCAAATATTGCCACCTTGCTTTGCACTTTTTAAATGTCCTAAATACTATTTTACACCACTTTATACATTTTTCCATAGCCATGTTCATTACGACAATTTAGAGAAATCAATTCGAAACCTATTAATACTAAATGGTTTCTTTCTATTTTGTAGTTTCCAATTCAGTAGTAAGATATTGAGATAACCCAAATCCTAGTGGAGCATTCATTAATGCGTACAATTTTACCGTTTAAATTTCAGATGAAACAAGACTCTAATGGTTATATAATTTCTCAATTCAGTACTCCAATCTGGTGAGTCAAAAAGATTAGTGAAAAAAACATGGAAGACTTTTCAAAAAGCTAAAATTTCCTTTTAGTAAAAAAATTCATTTTTCTTTAGAAACTTGCCTACAGTTCAGAGCCCATCCCTCAATGATACAAATGAACACTAAAATATTGAATTTTTCCACGAGATTTGCAGCATCCGCATTGTTGCCGTCACTTCGCTAAAAATGACACAGGAAAGAAGGAGGAGTGTGCCTTCCTTAATGTCCACAAATCTGGAAATTCGTGCCCCCCAAAAAACCGAAAATGCTCGACAAAATTATATCGTTCCTTGTGGTCCAACGAAAGAATCAGAGTTGAAATTACCTGATAAGTACCTGTTTGCGCCTCATTTAACCCGACTTTCACAGTCTGAACGAAAAGAAATCGAGAAAATCTGTCCCTCAATTTATCCTCATGACTCCTGGGCCAGAATACCATGGAATAAATATGCGGATACAACTGCTCCAACTGAACTTTACACGACATCACTCTCCCATTTTTACTACAGTGATCCATTGCCTGGAAAACGAGCGCCAATAATTTACAAATAATCGTTTGAAGTTGAAATTAATTCACTTTAATCTGATTGCGTTGGTGGAATTTCTTCTAAATAGTAGCTATCAATTCTGGAATGAAAGCCCCTACTTTTCGAGTAAAATAAAAAAGTCTACGCATTTAAAATGTCATTCAACGTCGGTACTGTTTCCAACACCTCTATGAGTAGCCAAACTTTCTCAGAGGGTTCATACATGCCGTTTATTTTAACAACGAAGTTCGCTTTGTTATTAAATAGATTTTTGTTTAAATTTATTCATACCAGGGTAGTAACTTTGCGTGAGTGTTAAACAGGTTTGTCGGTTACCTCTGTTTGATCCCGAGATAAAATAGTAACTGTGATTAGAATGTCAACTGTAACGACAAAAGCGTAATTCCTATGGGAATTTCTGGAAAAACCTTTTTAAAGACTTTGCTTTTAAATGATCTCAAATTTTTGCAAAGTTGTTTTAATTTTTGAAGAGAACAATTCTAACATGGCTGAATCAAGGAAACGCATACGTACTTGACCAGTCTGGAAAGTGTGGTTGTGCTACTAATCGCGTAGAGAACATGTGCTTCCATGAGTGCAGACCTCTAAGCCAATCGGCAACCAATAGTGCTTGCATGGTCAGCGAAGCCAAAATTGTAGTTTAATGACCAAGCTCCGCCAGTGACACCCTAAACACGTATCATCCTCGACATTTTGAGGAAGATTGGGTAATTTCGTGAGAAATCTCATACTGATAGGATTTTGGCCATAGGGATTGTCGGGGCTCCGTTGGCTTATTTCGCAACACCCAAGATATGCGTGTCTAGACTGCAAGCAAATGTGTGAATTGAAAATGAATAAAATTCAAATTAACAATACGAAATTAGACTGACATGAGGTGAATAATTAAAGCATTCCTTGTTAGGAATAATTGAATAAAAGAAGGCATTGATGGTTTAAGAGAAAAGTTAAGAAGAAAGTCGATTTCCCACCGTCCATCTACTTCAACTCGAATGTATATGGTTCTCTTGACAGTACATGCGTTATTTACTCCCATTATGTCTCTAGAACAGTAACGCAATTTTTTAAATTCCATTTAGCGGGTTATATACGACGTCTTGGAATGTGAAATATGACAAGTCGACAGTATAATTTCCCTGGGTGTTCGATAGACTTACCTCCACGTGGTTCACCCTAGGCAACGTATACTCATACGGCAAAAAAGTCTATAAACAGGCAGTTGACTTCAAACTACCATGACCTGACTGCATGTCATATTTGACCCCTTCCATAGTACTCATCTCACCCTTTCGCCGCCTTCGTGCCTGTCTGCCTCTTTTACATCTGTGAATCGCTCTTCTGTTCCCCAACCCTCGACTTTCTGTTTCTTTGATCTTCCTTCCCTCTGTGAAGTCCGAAATCAGCTAAAGGGATAATGATAACTTTCAAAACGCCTGCCACTTGAAATGAACAAATATTATAATATCCCTTTAGTTCAATCAATTGGAATATTTTTGAAAGAAAAGTAAAAAGAAAGGTGAAATCCCCCTAAGTTTTTTTGGAGGCAACTCCTTATAATGGAGATGTTTTAAACTAACTATTATAAAGCATCAATTTCTTTCACGCCATGACTTAAGAAAAAACACGATTTTAATATATTTTCACACGTGTATAAGTTAAGCTTAATTGCAGTTTTAAATAAATTCTGCCTTAAATTAAATTAGACTGAGATATTTATTTTTTTATTTCAAATGGCAGGGGTTTTGATAGATATCATTAGC